AGGACCTTGCCGTGTTGACACTGAATACAGAGTTTAGCCCATAAGCCAACATCTTTACAAATGCTAGGCCAAAACGAATTAGTCCATGAACGAACAGAGTTCCTTGAGGTGCGCTCACATAAATGAATTGAATTATGTTTGCTTACGCTTGCAAATTGTGCTCGCTTGCTGCTCGCCACATATCGTGGCATACTGTCTACATTGTTACGTCAAGGCTGGTTAAGACAAGGAATGCCTTCTTCACGCATGAAGTCAGGTCCATCGAATCAGGCTACCGTTTCATCGACTAATGGTGATCGCATTAGGACTTCTTCCACTGTGGATTTTGGCAGTGTAGCTCCGCGTTCCAACTGCGCTCCACTTACATGAATCGCAAGTGCCGGAAACAGAAAGCCTAACACTGCAGCCAATGGAGTTGGTACATGCAATCAAAGAGTTATTTCACAAAACCAAATACTGCCCGTGATAATTTCACCCCGAAATCCTCCACTTCTAATTCAGTCTCTCGTCGCAAGCCGTCTGCTGCCAATGCACTCGCAAGACAGAGTCGTTTCCAGAAACGAGCTGCTCTTTCAGCGACACCACCTCCCAGCGTCATCATTAAGGCGTCTACAAGGGGATCTCGTGAGGGCGGGTTCTTGACAGAGGGGAAAGCCGCTATCTACTGCGTCAAAATAACCGATCAACGCATGCTAGCAAGCAAGCGACTTGCTGAGCAAGAACGGCGACAGGCAGAAGATGAGAGGTGGAGTGTCAAGTGGAAAATCAAGCGGCTCGTGAATGCGCCGTCAAAGAGGAGCATTTGGCATCGGAATCGCTTGAGGCAAAGGAGGCTCGCTTGCTGGCCGAAATCAAGGCCCGGTAGAGGGCAACTAGCAAGCGCCAAAGGATTGAGGCAGTTCATCACGAGCGTTGAAGAGCATGCGCAAGGCTAAGGAGGAGGAGCGTGCGATGCGCCAAAAGCGCGTAGATAGCATCATGTCGAGGGATGACCACAGCGATCGCTTCCTTAGATGCAGTGTGGCTAACTCGGAGAGCTCAAACAGTCTATTCGGCATAAATGACCACCAGGTCCACCAATGCTGGCGGCAATCAGGCTACGACAGAAAGCGAACCGAAGCAACCAGCCCCTGTACTCATTTCACTTGACCGCAGGAGCACTACCACCGTCCCCGACTAAAACGGGTTTTCCAGCGGTCAGGCGAGTTTCACCTACACACTCCTATGGTCCCTCCTTGGCCACAGAAAAGGATTCTCTGTTGACCCTTCGTGGTTTACGGCATCCTCGTCCACGTCGCTAGTGACGTCTCCTCGGAGACCAGGCTTTTAGGTGGTTCGCAGTAGATCTGCAATAAATCCCGTACACAGAACCTGTTGGCTGGGCTGAAATTGTTTCAATAACACGGTCCAACTGCGTTGACGTGCGTGTTAGGCCATTGTGTTGAACCGGTCTTGTAACGGGCCCCGGTTGCTACTTTCAAAACCACAGCAGGGCCAGCGATGCACACTGGAAGATTAGAAAACGCTGACGGCGAGAAGCTCAACTAGTTCATTGCTTTAGCCGTGGTGTGTCTGTATGTGCGTGATAACAGTTGCGTTTATATAGCTCCGCCAAGCATCGATCGTTGAACGAACAGAGTTGCATGAAGTGCGTTCACGTTAATCGATTGAATCGTGTTCGCTCACGACTGTTAACAGTGCTTGCTTGCTGCTCGCCACAACACCAACACAGTCAAGGCGGCTTTGTTAGTCAAGTATTTTATTTGTACAAAATCAAAATTACCCATTCATGATCACCCATATTCACCTATGGATTACAGCGATCACGCCGAACTAAAATGCAAATTCGAAATCTACCATTACCGCCTTCTCTTCATCATGAAGACAATGATGAAGATGATGGTAATGATGACTATGTTAACCGTTGGAGTACAGAACGCTGATACAATTCTTTTTAGGGCCATTCATAATCATCACCGTCATTAGCTACGTCATTGAGTTCTCCAAAGTGAAACAAGCGTAAGGTCGGTAAGAATGGCGTAGGTTAGATTAAATGAGCTGAGACTAGTGGGAGGCATTTGGTCCACACTTTGCGCAGACAGATTCACCAACCATGCCAGTCCCAGTAATGTGTGCATAAGTCAAAAGCGTTGGGAAGAAGACCCTTCACCTTATTCCATTCCGAAAACGGGTTGTCAAATTTATGCCTCCTTCGAGTTTGTCGTCCGTGCGATAGGCACAGCCTCAACATTTCCATAATGGTTCTAAGAAGGCATCTTTTCAGACAAGTCGATAGGTTCTGCAGCTTCGTCTTTCTACAACACACGAATAATGCAAGATTTGTTAAGTAACCTTTACACTGCTTTGGTGGGTCTCAGTTTGCCAACATCAAACACACGGCCTATAACCTATTCAAGGAGATTTGACTGAAGTGCTTGTTTTTCAAATAGGAGCTTTCAGCAACAGGTTCACGTATGGTTAACAGAAGAGAAGATTGTGACAATATTTGGAAGAAATCAGCCGTCCTGGCTTTGTCGCCTGCACCAACCCGGGGACAGAAACAAGAGACGCAACAGTGGCTGCGAGAGTTTATTGACGTCACGCCGGCCAAGTGTACCATTGTGTGCGGGAGTGCGACTGACAACGATGGCCAATGAGAAAGAGGGACGGGTCGGCCATTGAAATCGATTTATTCCGTGTGAGTGCAGCTGCACTCGCGCGCCACCCCTGACTACCTACTCCCGTGATTCTGCACTTTGCTAGTGTCGTTCTCCATGACATTAGTTTTGTATTTCATTCTTGAGTAGCATTTGCAGTAAAGTAGCATTCAGACACGGCTTTCGTATTCATGTTACGAATGTGTTAATCTCCCACCAATGTTTTCAATCACCCGCTGTTGCAACTGCTTTGTTCTAGTTAAGGCTATCGGAAAAAAAGACAACTTCTCGATACGGTCGGCCGACAGTTGTCGTTTAATTGCTCCGACAGCAGTTTGCAATACATTCCTTCAAAAAAAACATATTTGTTTCCTTTGTCCAATGACATCTACTGTTCCGTCCATCACGACCTGAAAAGCAATCAAGTCCTCTTACTAAGCAATAGCCTTCACAGATGCTTCTGGCTCAAGTCACTCAACAACGTCAATATTCCAGAATGAAGAGCATATTATATTCGACCGAAGTGAGTTTTGACAAAAGCCACGTTGTTGTTCAACCTCAATGCGACACTTGCACAAATGACAGCTAATTTTGCCTGCATAACTGTTTGTCTTTGGGATCTGTGGAGTGTGAGAGACCAAGTCACAATATGTCACTGAGGTATTAACTGCAAATGGTCTTCAGAGAGACCAATTGTAAACGCATTACTCGAGAATTTATAGTAATGACAGTTGTTAATGTTCATCCATACTTGCTGGCGATGAGAATATGTTCAGTGTGTGCAAGAACAAAGTGTACACCTCACAAAACGTGGTCAAGTAATACCTTAAAATTCTAAGCCACATGAAGTAGGGCCTAAGACATTAGTATTAACTTGTCGGTTGTGAAAAGAACAGTAATAGCAGTTGTTGGGTCGACTATAGGCTTAACAGGAATCCGATGATAGGTTCGGAGAAGGTTCAGTTACTACAATACTGTAGCAGCATTTGAACCTAAGGAAAAATCAAGGATTTGACACTTTGACATTATTTGGGGCTCCTTAATTGCTGCAGAATCATCGGTCTTTAGATTTCTTAGGCATCATGTGTAATAGTTTGATTGAAAGCCTTTTGGAAGTGTGAAACAAGCCAAGCTGGCACATATGATCACGGCTTTTTTCAGCTAGTGTGATTTTATGCGGTTTACATCGTCTGGCCTCCGTGGTCGTTTGTCGGCCATTAATCACGATGCGATGCTTTACTCGGTTAAGTTTTCCTTTATTGCGCATATGTCATATTAAAAAATAACGTCAATTATCACTAAAAGTTGGTCTTCTCTTTTAGAAGCAACCGTAGTGGGCACAGGAGGAAAGAGTGAAAAAATGGAGATGGCTCGTAGCTTAGCCAATTCATTAAGGCGGTAGCAGTGTGTGTGTACAGGATAACGAGAACTTCGCTAAGCATCGATCGCTGAACGAGCAGAGTTGCGTGAAGTGCACTCACGAAAATCGATTGAATCGTGTTCGCTCAGGCGTGCTAACTGCGTTCGCTGATGACTGCGAACTGTGCTCGCCTGCTGCTCGTCACAAAGCCAATGACAGAAGGTGTCGTGTAGGTTTCACAGAAGCTTGATATAGAATAATAGATAAAATAGTCTACGCTACCGAACTACATACTTTATTTTTATCATAATAGGTCAGCTGATTAAGCTTTGAAATTGTAGAAAAATGATTTGAGGCATCGCTTGTCGGGTCCAGTGCTGAACTAAAAAGACACAGTCAGGAAATTCGGAAATGTGAGAAACTGATTTTCAAAAATTGGTTTATGTTCAGAAATCAGTTCGCTAATCTGAAAGGGGGAACAATAGCTCGTGTTAAGGAAATGTAATGCCAAGGCATAAATTCAGAGATTCGACACCAGTCAGGCCAGTTTAGCAAACTCTGCGTCAAAAGATGTTTGACATGCCATTTTGTGCAGAGGGAGAATCAATGGTTCTCGACTCTCTAGTTCTTGCTGCAAGTTCCAAACTCTTTTAGGATACCGTAATTCGATTGTAAATACTTACGATTTACCTTTCATGACTACTGTTGGAAAGAAAAGGTTCGTCCACTCCATTCGCCAAGTGGGAGAGCTGTGGTGAGCAGCAAGAAACCACCGCAACCGTGAGCAAACATGATTCAATTGATTTACGTGAATGCGCCTAGCGCAACTGTATTTGTAAGATAAATTTAGTGACAGTACTTGTTTACTCTCAAATGTTGTCAAATATTGCCAAATTCAAATTGAAAATGAACAATGTCATTTTTGGGCAATTTGTCAGTCATTTGAGAGAAGGTTCCACTGCCTTTTCTGAGACGATAACGGCTCCGTGGTACTCAGTAGAGTCATTGTGCACAAGGATGCTTGGCATTACGTTAGATTATGTCACATTCAGGACCCGTCCTTGTGGACATTAGCAGGAGCTGTTATCGCTTTGGTGAAATTTGCAGGCCTTTGAACCTTCCAATTGCGCATTCACTGGAAGCAACAAGCGACCAGCTACGGTAACGTTTGGACTTGAGATTTTATGCAGCCACCGATTTTGTGCTAGTAGTACAGTTACCGATTTGTGGCATGCATTGTTTTGTTGTTACTGCCTTTCTATATTATTTCAGCGAGAAAACTAGTGTGACGCAGAACGACACTAGCAAAGTGCAGAATCACGGGAGTAGGTAGTCAGGGGTGGCGCGCGAGTGCAGCTGCTCTCACACGGAATAATCGATTTCAATGGCCGACCCGTCCCTCTTTCTCATTGGCCATCGTTGTCAGTCGCACTTCCGCACACAATGGTACACTTGGCCGGCGTGACGTCAATAAACTCTCGCAGCCACTGTTGCGTCTCTTGTTTCTGTCCCCG